ATATATATATATATATATATATATATATATATAATAAAAATATGTATTATAAAACTATAAAATGACAAATTATTTTGGAGTTGAAATATCACTTGGCCATTCTCAATTTTCCAGAGATTCACTCATAATGGTAAAAAAAATAAAAATAATAATAATTAATAACCACATTAATTTTCAGCAGTATTTCAGCTACAGTCAGACTGGTTTCCCCGGCTACAACTGCTAACATCACCATACTACTTTGGGGCATATTACATGCTTTGATTATATATGTAAGGTCACAAAGTCCAGGTTCACTTCAGGTTTAGGAAAAGAAAAGAGATACTGTTTGAATGAAAACGGAAGGAGAATAACACTGTACAGAAGCTATACACTCCGATGTATCAAGTGTCTTTCTGACAGAGCCTGAGGCAAAGTCTGATGTGATTGGACACAAAAAGAGAGAGAGAGAGAGAGAGACGGAGATTAAAGAAACAACATAAACAGATGCAAATCATATTTTCAACCACTAAGACTAAATATTGCATGAAACGAGCCTTGTAGTAGCGCTCTGTATGTGCTTCCTCTCTGAGTTGGATCTGGTCTCTATTAGGAGAGGAATGCAATTACACACGAAACAGGGCAACGCTGAGGATACACTACACTCCATCGGCCTCCAAACAACACACACACTCATATTACGCAGCATGCGTTCCTGACAGATTTGGGGTGTAAACATTTGCAGACACAGCTTTTGAGTGTCTTTTCCTTGTTAATTTGTACTTGGAGCTCGGAGTTACTGTGAAAGTCTGCGCCAAATGGCCTGGTGTTACTTTGACGAGCTAATGACTTCATATCTCATCTCTGTATGAACAGCACAGGCATCCTGACAGCAGCAGAAGTTTGTGAAATTCTGTAAGAGAATTCCACATGACAAGAAAAAGATTTGGTGGTCGAATCAAACGCCTTTTCCAAAGGTTCTCACCTATTAAATGTGACTATAACGTGTTTTGTGAATGTGGGTGTCTGTGATTGTATAACCTGAAGGTCAACTGGTTTCCAAGCCGTTATCTACCACATACGCGAGCTCTTTGAAGTCAGACATCTACATAATCAGGAGCGAGAGAGCCGATGAGGAAAATACAAGTGACTCTGCATGACGGGCGACGGCTGAGAATGTCAAAATTAAAATAATCTGCCGCTTCAGAGAGGGGAAATAAAATAAGACGACGAGACACATGTTTTGTCTAGGCTGGGTCTTGTGGTAATTATGTCTGCGAGACTGTGAGTTATTTAATTATTAGATTGTCATTGTTTCTTTCTCAAAACCTAATTAATTTCTCGATATGCTTCTTGGAAAGAAAAGAGAAGCAGCAAGTTGAATTATTACCTGACAGATACACTGATTGTAACACTCGCTGAATTAATTACTATGTGTGTTTTAACTGACAGCTGAATAATGTAGATTTATCTATTTGTTTCTTACAAAACTAATAAACTTAGAAAAGTCTTCATGGAAATGCACAGAACGACATTTGTGATCTGATGAAAGGAACATGGTAAAGTAATTATATCTTAACCTTTATGAATTTATTAAGCTTAGCAATAGGACACTATCAGGACATAATATAATTATGACAAATGGACTAAAAATAAACCAGTGTTACTTTAGTATCACTGAAATTATATTATAGTTTTCATTAATAGTTTGAATCCATTTTTTTTAGATATTTTCTGTTTTCATTTTAAAGTTTTAGTAATTTTGTGTGTGTGTGTGTATATATATATATATATATTTTTTTTTTTTTGTTGTTGTTTTTTTTTTTTTTTTTTTTTGCCAATGTTGGCAACTAGCTGAAACATTTTTTATTTTTTTCAATAATTTATTCTATTTCAGCTAATGCTTATTTTATTTCAAGTAATCAAAATGTCTTTTCAATGGTTTTAATTTTAGTTTCAGTTGTAATTAATTACAAAACCCTGCAAAAAATTGATACAAATTCAAACACAGTAGTTCTGCCCATACTACAGTACATATTCTGACATGATTTGTAGTGCAAAACAATGAAAACAACAATAAAAAGTGACTTTTAAGAAATAATTTGAAATCTGTGTAGATATGGAGAATGTGGGAAAAGTACACAGACGGGACGGTTTATTTTGTCTGCGTGCTTGTGAGAGCATGTGGCCTGGTGACCTGTGCAATATCACAGACACAGACAAACAAACATGGCATGATAGCACTCAAAAAACACAAGCGCTGCTCACATCCTTGTTTGGAACCATCTCAATCGCTGATGCTGCATATTTATTTTTAATACTTGACTTTCTGAATATTTCATCAAATAATACACTTACAAAAAAGTGCCATGGCTTTATTATGGGTTTTGAAAAAGGTACAGTGGTAATACTGTGTTTTTGAACATGTACCATTGTATTGTTTGAAGAATAATTAAATAACAAGCATTTAGTAAAAAATACAGCAAAACAGTAATATTCTGAAATATATTTAATATGCTGATTTAACAAGTGAACTTTTTAGCAAGTTAACTTTGTTATAGATCTTAAATCTTTATATTTACAAGAGATTTGCAAAAAAAAAATTAAAAATCCATATAAATGTGACTAAACAATTCAAATAATAAATAAAGGCAGAAATCATTCTAATTATGCTTATTTGGTGCTCAGAAAATATTTATTATTATTATCAAAATTGAAAAAAAGGTTGTGCTTAATATTTTTCTGTAATATATAATATAATATATTTTTTTTCTTTTCAGGATTCTTTGATGAATAGAAATTTCAAAAGAACAGCATTTATTTGAAATAGAAATATTTCTATATAACAGATTTGAAATGTCTTTACTGTCAGTTTTATGCATCCCTGCTAAATAAAAGTATTAATAAAAAAATAAATAAACAAAACCTGACCCTAAAATTGTATGATAAAAAGTGTATAAAATAATTCAGATTTTAATTAAAAAATAATAATAATAACACACCATAGTACTTTTTAAGAGTACAATGAGTAAAATATTAACAGAATAAAAAGAGTCAAATGAAAATTGGTATCCTTTCTCAGCCCTATGATCATTTCCCATCTTATCTTGTGTTTTTTATGAATTCAATCCCAGATTTATTGCTTTTGACACAATGTATCTGGTCCATGACTAAACATTTTTTTGTATGGCCGAAAGGATGATCTTTGTCAAAAGCGTTCTCATCCTCGCGCCCTCTCTTTATCTCACCATCCCAGTTTGAATGAAGAGGCCTGAGGGTTCGTAACATCTCTTTTGCCATGCCAGTCCACCTGCAGCCTCACCTGTCTTTACCTCAGGGCCTCAGCACGGAGCAAAAGAACACAACCACTGAGGCCCACGACGCAGCTCTGGCTTATATTATCTGCAGGGGGCCTCACGACGGAGCTGATGTGTTTCTGACAATGCCTCAGCATGGAGCAACACCTACATCACAGACGGCTTTTATGGCTGTGGGAGCAGACGTTTGAAATAATGCTTTAGATTGGCAGACGTCTCTGCCAGCGTGTCCCCATCTCACCTCCCACGGGGGACATCAATTTCGTCTTTTTTCCAGCGGATGGTAGGCTGCGGGTCTCCCTGCACCTGACAGCGAAACTCCACTGCCTCCTCCTCCAGAACCACCTGGTTAATGGGTCGTCGTAGGAACGTGGGCCTCTCTGAAAGACAAGCAGACGAGAAAAGGACATAAGGGATGCGGAGACCTCATTCACTCGCCGTGACTCAGCGTCGAGTCACAGATCCCGAACAGAAGCTCTCACAGGGATTTGTGGTATTGTGTAAGTGTATCATACGCTTTTGTGTTCCAGCATGTTTTATGACTAACGTGAAGACACAAGCATAATAGAGGAATTAAACATGACACATTCTCTCATGCGGGAAAAATCTTTCCAACTTGCTTGTTTACAAAAGCATCAACTATGAGCTGAGATGCTAAACATTTTCAGAGCATGACTCAAATATTTGTTGATATTTTAAGACTTTTTTTGTGGTTTAGAAATGTCAGACTATAGTTGGCACATACCGAACACGGTGACCTGGGCCGTCTCACTGTCTCTCTCGCCGACCATGTTGGTCCCCACGCAGATGTACATGCCAGCGTCACTTTTCCTCGTGTTGGAGATCATCAGCTTCCCTCCACGGATCTGAAGGGGAAGACAGGAACGTTACAGTTTCTGTGACAACTCATGCGATAAGTTACTGCAGCACTCTCTGTGGAGCTACCTGAAGTTAAATGCCTTGCTCAAGGGCAAAATAGATGTGGTTTATGATTCACCTTTTGCTGGTTTTGAACCTTTAATGTTCAAGATTCAAAGCTAGATCATTACCCACCATTCCACACCTCAAATAAAGCTTTCTTTGTTGCAAAAAAGTGTCAATACGTTTAGAAACATTTATCTTTGAACAATACAACTTTGTAGACCAAATGTTTTTGCCTTAAAAGAAAAAACGTTTTGGTTTTGAATTTTTTATTTTTTGTTTGGTCTTGCAAAATTTTTAGCAAGTGAATGCCGCAAAAAACAAAACAAAACAAAACAAAACAAAACAAAACAAAACAAAACAAAACAAAACAAAACAAGGGCTTTAGAGAACAAAACAAAACAAGACAACAAAGCAAAACCCATATAAGTGTAACAAAATACATAAATGTTAATTTTTTTTCTTGCACAAGCAAGCAAGTGAATTTAAAGGCTTTTGTTTGATTTTTTAAATAAAAATGTAAATAATTTATAACATTTATAATATTTTTTAAATAATAAAATAAAACAAAAACAATAAAATCCATACAAACAAACTGAATATGAATAGGGTTGAAAAGAGGCAGAAGATTTCTAGGAAAATTTCCAGAAACATTCCAGGATTTTTGGACACCTTCCTGGATTTTTTGTAAACTTCTCAGAAAAATTTCAGCTCTTTGCAACCCTAAATATGAATAGTCTCCATTTCTCACCTTGATCCTGTCATCCTTCTCATCGATTCGTACTTTGTCTTTCTTCCAGTAGATGGTGGGTTCCGGGTGTCCACGAGGGGGAACGCACTCCAGGATGGCCGGCTCTCCAGCAGCCACCACCACATCCGTAGGGTTCTGTCTGAAATCATCACGTAACACTGAAAGAGAGAGAGAGAGAGAGAGAGAGGAAGATTAGCTCGTTTTTAACCATTTGCAAATTTAGTCATGCTTACAATCCCCGAGGCACAAATAAATGTTCTTTTGTTGCTGAAACAGATGTCATTTCATTAAGTCCTCTAAAACGTTAACACGCTCCAGCAGTGTTCAAATGTTAGCTCCCATTCAACAGGGGTGAGGAGAGACACCTGTTCGAAAGTTCTGTTAAGTATTTTAGGTCACGGGAATGCCAGACACAGTAAATCACGCTGCGTATGAAGGCACCCGTCTACAGGAGGGTGTGTATGAGTTTTATTTGATAGGGTGACTACAAGGAAAACTTAATTGGACTTAATGGTGTTCCCTATCGAGACAGGAGAACAAACAGAGTGAGGGAAGACATATTGTGCCCTCCAGCTCTGTGTCACTCATATGCGTGGAGCAGATGAAGGAATGAACGGCAACACACACACACACACACTAAATCTGTGCCAACTAATCACCCGTGCTCACACTTTCATCACCAGCTATGCCTCTGGCCATGACTAATGTAGCAATAAACTCGACAGCAAAAACATACATGAGGTCACCCAATTATCAGTAATGAATAAATGCAATGAATGACTAAACACACCTGTACACATCTTCACATTCATCAACAGCACTTTATTAATAAATGAGTTGGGTAATTATACTCTAGCGCTGACCTGTAAGAGACAAAAGGATAGATCTGTCAACTGATAATGCGTTAATAGAGAAAAAACACACAGTCGGTGGGTGGGCGGGTAAATCTGTGCCAACTAATCACCCGTGCTCACACTTTCATCACCAGCTATGCCTCTGGCCATGACTAATGTAGCAATAAACTCGACAGCAAAAACATACATGAGATCACCCAATTATCAGTAATGAATAAATGCAATGAATGACTAAACACACCTGTACACATCTTCACATTCATCAACAGCACTTTATTAATAAATGAGTTGGGTAATTATACTCTAGCGCTGACCTGTAAGAGACAAAAGGATAGATCTGTCAACTGATAATGCGTTAATAGAGAAAAATTATCTCGATTTGTCTTAGCTAAGATTTATGAATCAGATAATGACTTTAAAGTGATTTAATAATAACTATGAAAAAGAGCACTCAGACTCAAGAATATGATTGGAAAAGTCACGTTTAAAGCTGTTCAAACTCTAACATGAGTTGAATGGTATATTAATGTGACAAATATAATAATAATAATAATTATTATTATTATTATATTTATTAGTACTTATTTTATGAAATCATTTTTTACACACTGACAGTAAAGAAAAATGTGGAAAACATTTCTACAAATAACATTACATTTTGTCAAAATAAATTACATTATTATTAAACAAACCACTAGATTTTGATATTTTCATATTACAGTGTCAGTGGTACATCCCTGCATTAAACATGCCATAGAGTTGCTAAGGTGTTTCGAGCAGTTTCTAACGTTTTGCAGTGCAGTTGCTAGGGCATTCTGGACGGTTGCTAGGTTGTTAGGTTATTGCCCAAAGAGCACACTAACAAGTCTGTATGATATTCTGGTCTCTTAGATACAGCTCCAGTCCTTCAACTCAAGTCTGTGACTTTTTTTTCAATCACTTGAAAAAGTAACAGCACACTGCATTATTTCAGATCACTCAAGGGCAAGTTACATGCTGAAGTTTAATACTTAGAGTTGGTGATTTGTTCAAATGAGTATAACGCTGTAAAGAAAGACAAAGCGCTGTGCATGTGTAATTTTACATTTCTTAACTTCATGACTTTTTCTGGCCTCAGGCCATATACAGACATTCAATACGCATAATTACATTTTCATCCTTCCAAAAGCCTCGACTTTCAGCTCTCTTACATGTCTCTTTCTCTCTCTCCGGGTACGATGAGCCTCTCGATCTTCCATCTGATTAATATTTATGTATTGTTCGTCTCCCTCCCCCGCATGCTAGCGAGAGCAGCATCTGTCTGTCAGGCTGGAGGCTAAAGGAGAGGTTTATATGCCGAATATTCCTCCACCACCCTCCTTCACTTCCTCCTGGAGGACGGCTGGTAGAGGTGGAGGGGGTGTTTTTTTGGGCTAACATTGGCAACTTTGCAGTTTCTTTGGCTATATTTCAAAACTTTTGGAGCGAAGTTAAGGGTTTGCAGTGGAAAAGTGTAACAGGAGATGATGCAATGGAAGGAAGCCAAGAGGATCATTAAAAAAAGGACAGATGCTACTTTGTACTTAAGTGTGTTTGGAGTTGTCAGATATAGTCAATGCCAAAGGCAATTAAAGGGCCCGATATTCCAGTGTCTTTTCTTTATTTCTTGCTACATGTTCGGCACCTTATACATATAAAAAACAGCAAATCCTTGTAACAAGATTGTAAATGTGCTCTGAGATTGTACTACAGCCTAAAATATCTTATATGACTTACGTACTGCTGCTTTATAGGGCCAGTTTTACTAATAACTTGTGTCAGCGCAAACCGTCTTTTGGCGTTAAAATAGTACTGTCAGGTTTTACTAATGACGCACAGTGAGGAATGGGCGCTGAAAAGGCGTGGACAGAGTTATGTGTGCGCCTGAACTTATTGAATATGCATTTGTTGGAGTTTCCCTTTTCAGACGTAAAATTTATGGGAGGAGAGTATTCAAATGAATCACGCAATGAGATTTACTAAAGTTTGCGTCACACTGTAAAAAATCCAACTTTCGAAAAGTTCTACTAATGTAAAAAAAGTAGCCTGAACAAAGAATTTTTTAGTAGAAGACAGTTAAATTTTTTGTGTGAACAGAAAATACTCTAAACACGTCGCTAACGAAAGTTTTGTTTACCTTACTTAGATACTCAAGTATTAGTTCACAACATATCCAAATGTTCTCCCAACTTTTCAAATTGAGTCATCTGAACAAACAATTTTACATTGAACAATATCGCACAAGTTCTCAGCATGCATTGCAGCTTGAAAACGTTTTATGTTAATAATTACTCAAATATCATCATTGTTTTAAATTTTACTTGCTTAATTTATGCTGCTGCTGCTGTTGTAACTGTCAGTTAGCTGTCATGTGGATCAGAGTTCATATTTTTACTGATTTAAAATTTGTTGATCATGACCACCATGGTGAGAATCATGTGCTGAGGTACTGTATATGTGCATCTCATTGCAACTTGTTTAATACATTTGTCTCTGCATACACATTTGCCTTTAGTTTTAAGAGGCAAATACTACCCATAACATGTAGAAGGCTTTGAAAATAAACATAAATCTAAAAGAAAGAGGATTGATAAAAAAGATTAGCATTGCTAAATGCTAAAAAATCTTTGGTTGCTCTGACAGATCTTTTAACACTCAGTAGACTGACTTCATTAGATGAAATAAAGTTTTTAAGTTGTCGGTTGCTAGTTGGGTTAACTTAACAAGTTGAGTGTGACAAGCTGCCTTATTTTTTTGAGTTAGGTCAACTTTTTTTTTTACAGTGATTATTTAACGCCCAAAAATAGCATGTCTTAAACTGCTTTGCACTTGAAATGGCTGCAATTATTGTTGCTAGAGGAGGCACCGCAGAGAACAGAGAGCACATGGTAAGAGAGATGATTTTTTCCACACGTATTCATTTATTTTGAATGCCAGAAGAACACATTATCCAAACATATTGTTTGCTAAGCCATGTTATTTTTAATTTGTTTCATGAAATAAAAGACGACTTGGAACCCTCAACTAGGAGTCACGCAATATCAGGTCTATCAAAACTTCTGGCAACCCTTAATTTTTTGGCCTCCGGTTCCGAGGACTGGAATTGGGAACCACTGATGTAGCCTATTGTAGTAATGTTGTCTCTGGTATTCTGGTCTGTGAGCATATATGCGTTCAGGGGGCGTGGCTTTGGAGGGTGGTATGTTCGCTTTCAGTGCTATCAGGCTAAAGTTAGCATTTTCCAAGATCTCCTACTGCACCTTTAATTATATAACACTTAGAATTGTATAAAAGAACAATTTTTAAATTGTTAAAGTCTTTTGTAATCTTAAAATAGTTTTATAATTGTCACATTTTTTACAGTTAACCTCATCCATCCATAATAAAAATATTTTTTTAATTTAAATTATATAATTTATTAATTACAGTTTTATAATAATTTTATAATTAAAAATGTAAATTCCAAGTAGTAAATTATTAATATAATATAATATAATATAATTGTACATTAAATAAAAATAATCCGTTTTAAAATAATACATGTTAACAATATATAATATAATATAATATAATATAATATAATATAATATAATATAATTTTACATACCGGACTTACAGAAATAAAATACTGATCAAATTATTTAAAAATAAATTGGCAAGACCACACACACAGACCTGTGGAGTGGATAATATGGTAATGTGTGCATATTAATCAGCTTGTTTTTACCCATTATGCACTGCAGTGCTGGTAGCTTGTGTCTGCATCAGAGCCAGCAAAGGTCAGAACGCAGTGGGATTACAGCACAGAACTGGCCTAGAGCAATATCACACTCCTACTGCACTTTATAACAACAACATACTGATCGAGAGAGAGAGAGAGAGGTACAGAAAATAACTGTGGACATATGAGTGTTTTCCCAGCATGCTATAAGCAGTGATAGCATTTCATTTGAGTGCCTCTCAAAAGTGTTCACTACAGCTGATGCTGTGTCTAATGTGGCTCTCGCATGAAAGAGTGTAAATATGTCACTTTGAGAGAAATAGCACTTTTTTTTCTCCACGCTGCCCCTGGCTCTGTGCGTATACATGCCTGTGTGTGTGTGTGTGTGTGTGTGTGAGTTACACGCAAGAGTAATGTGAAAATGTGTCCCAGTCCATAGTGGGTAAGAAAGCTGTTCTATTTGTTTGCAGGGTATATCAGTCCTGTTATGAGCTCGAGCCCCAGTGACCCCTGCAAACCCCATCTACACACCCTCACACTGCAAATAAAGCCCTCCAGACACACA